AGCAACGAGGAGCTCGGCAGACTGCTGGGAGGAGTGGCCATCGCTCTGGGAGGAGTTCTGCCTGGCATTCGGGCGGTCCTACAGCCCGGGGGAACCGAGGCCAGCCGAGTCTGGGTGGACGAATCGGACGGCATCTGCAGCCATTTTCTTAGGATCCACTGTGGGATGGACCTTTACAAGAGATCCTTCCTGTCTACAGCCATCAGTATCTATAACATTTAATGAAACCAAGATAAACGAGTTACAACAACAAATAATTTCCCTTTTGGATTAATAAAGTATTTTTGAATTGAACTGAATTGAATTTACTGTTTCTTTTTACACTTTACATTTTTGCTATTGTTGTAACTGGGACCCTGTGTACACAATTTCTTTCCACCTCATGTACATGCGATGCGAATGCTAATAAAGAACCTTGAATCCTTGAATAAAATGCAGACTGCAAACAATCAATGACCACGGCAACAGTGTTTGCACTACAATACAAAACTGTGTCATCGGCATAAAGTAAAACTCTGCATCTTTTTTCCCTTTGCTCGTGTTGATTGTAAAGAGTCCTAAAACACAGCCTTGAAGAACACCTTTTGTGACATTCAGTTACTTGGAATTGTGACCAACTAACTTTGTTTATGACTTTAAAGAAAATTTGACAGCTAACCAATAGATTTGTCTGAAAGCCTCTGACTCAATATGTCTGATCTACAGGGTCAAACTCTTTGGACAAAACACAACATGATAATGTTTGGTACCGAGAGGTTCCACTAAGCCCTTTGAAACTTTAGTGGAAGCAGTTACACTGTTTTCTGAAGTTGCTATTGGGAAACAAAATATAAATACATAAGTCCTTCTTAAATTCACAAACTTATAAAGCACTTGAGTTTGAGGCAGAGTTTAGAAATGAGACAGTAAATATTCACTGGAGTGAGACCACTGCTTTTGGGTGTTTAAAAGATTACAGTCCTTGACACATGTTGATAATCATTCACCAATTACACCTCTTTAAACTCATCGGAATAACCTTATCGTTCACTGTGATATTTGTATTTAAATGTCACAAGGACCGACGTTAGCTATAAAGCAAACAGAGATGGGGGTGGAATTCCGATCTCCTGCCCCTACACATACCGTAGCAAGTCGAAAGTCATTTAGTTGCTATTAATCACAGTAAAATAACCAAAGTGTGACATAAAAGACTATGTAATTATTCTCCTACAATAGGCTGTATGCATGCGGCTCTTGTCTCTGTAATTAAATGCTGTTTTTGATGGGACAACATCTCGCCGTGGCAGATTTTTAATTACGCACACAATTCAGAGGCCATAAATGCAGAATCAATAAACGCCCATACAAAGATTATGCACTTCTTCATAACTTAGAGCTTTGATGCAGCATCTTCTATTCTGTGACAGGAGGAATCAGATATTGATACAACTTGATGCTTCTCTGATCTCTAGATAAGTGAAGATATCAGACTTCTGAAAAATCAGATTGAACTACAAAAAGCTGAGTTGACAGTGACATTTGTTAAGTTTTTTTTTTATTGAATGCGTAAAATAAAAAGCTCCATCTTTTGAAATAATGTTGCAGACTATGACACGCTATCAAATTTTATTTGCTTCTGCAGATCTGTCCTTTTATTTATCTGGGCGAGGTATCTTGTCGAACGTTGAAGGTTTTTAATAAAATGAACGTTTGACCCCTCATATCTGAGTCTCGTGTCCTCCTTAATACATTGTGTTCTTGGTGGACGTAACATAATAATGGGGGCTCGTCCAAACTCCATATTTCGAACGTTAGTTTCACCATATTAATGGGTTAGGTGTAGTCATGTAACAGTCATGTAACTGTCATGTACCTCATTGTTGTCATCCACATTTTCCTGTATTTGGTAATTTTGATTATTCTCATTGATGTTAGCATTGATTTCAATGCTAACATCAGGAAATGGAATTCAGCTCCAATCCAGGTGTTAGAGTAATAAAAAGGCCTTTCATGTGTCAAAGGCAAACCAGCTCTTTTGTGTTTGTGTGACCTTCTGCCCCTCAGACAGTACTACATCAATGACTGTCATGCAGTCCTGGTCAATAAACAGCTGAGCTTTAGAGACATCCACCTTCTGTGACGTTTTGATGAGACATCAGTGAGTGTTTGTCTCTCTGGTTTCTTGTTAAAGATGTAGAGAGAGAAAAACAACTACTGGCATTAAAAGAACAAGACGAGTCAAACACCAATGACTGTCGAGGAGCTGAAATCTTGTTGTTTTTTTTAAACAAAGGAACCAGATTGAAAATTGACAACACTTTGGATTCTCATTTACAGGTCAAATGTTTGTGGTCAAAGAGCTTCTTGAGGTTAAGAGGAGTACAACTCATAATCTTGTTCTTATTCAAAAGTGAATCTGAGTTTTAGATTTGATGGTTTCATTTGCTCCCTGAGCTTACACTAATCTAATTAAAAAATTAAATACAATAAAAACAATAAAATAAAATAAATACTTTATTAATCCCAAAGGGAAAGTATTATTAATGTATCCGGATGCATTTGTCTAATGCATCAAAAAATGATGTGAAAATAGAAGTTTCTTCGTTTCCACTCCAAACCCTACACCTTGCTTAGGTAAAAAGTATATGTTTATTTCTAAAATGCTCTTTTGAAGAAAAAAAAAAGGAAATATGGAAGTGATGTTTTATTTATTCACTTATTTTTCTTGTAAAATCTAAAAGTAGTGGATTTAAAGTTTAATTTCTTCAGGCCATGATGAATTACCTGACAAAACAAAAAAGCAATCTAAATCTTGAGATAAAAAAAAACATCAATTTGTTCAATGAAACCTGCAGAATTGTGCAAAAGTTTTATACCATCCTAAATGTCATTATATTTTGTCTCCAAACAGCCAAACTTTCTACTAAGCTTTTAAGGTGGTCTTGATCAGAGTTTCTTCAGGTTTTCTGAGGGTCTTTCAAAGTTTTTCTTTGAATTTTAGCTGCTTTATCCACTTCTTGTGCATCATATTGTGCAATTGAAGCACAAAAAATGATCAGGCTTTTTTAAAAAAAAAAGCAAATGAACAAAATCTTGGTAATTCTTAAAACATGTCATCATGCAGCTTTGAAATAAAACATTTAAATGTGGACATTTTTGTTTTCTTTTACCTCAAAGGACTTATGGCTGACACAAACTGCCCCAAAATGGAGAGCGCTCGGTTTCCATATAGTTTCATTTATGTATTAGCTCAAATTTGTCTCTTCAAAACTGGAAGTGAAGCAGTTTTCACATCTCCATAAAACATTGTAGAAATATTTCACACGTGTGACCATCAGAGCCTTTTGCTGCTCCAAGAGCCTTTACGTACGACTTTTGGGTTTTGGACCATGACTGTTTGTTTGAGACTTACTTTTCAATCTGCATCCATCTGTCTCTCTTAAAGAGCACAGACGCAGGCGTGTGTTTACCATGGTGACCATAATGAATCTTTACAATTCATCCAAGGGGGCCCTTTTTTTCCTGAATGAAAGTTCAAGTTCAAGTTGTTATCATTCACATCACATGTGGTACATGAGGTGGAATGAAAGTGTGTACTCAGGGTCCCAGTTACATCCAACAATAACATAAATATAAAGTGTAAAAAGAAACAGGAATAAGGATCTAAGATATAAACTAAAATACGCTAAACACTAATAGTGCAAAACAACACACCAAACAACAGCAGCACGAACATGAGTTTGTGTGAGTAGATGATCGAGTATACAGCAGCATGAAATAATCAGCAGCATGAGATCAGCAGCATGGATAATCAGCAGCACATATTACCAATCAAAGTGGCATTACAGTGATTTTTTTTCACAGTGATAATCCTGATTAGGGATTTATGAGTCTAATATCTTCAGGGTAGAAGCTGTTCCTCAGTCTAGTGCAGGGGTCTGCAACCTTTATGATCAAAAGAGCCAATTTTTGCCTTTGTTCACTACTTTAAACGTGTCCGGAGCCGCAACAACCTGCTACAACTGTGGTTATCAACTGGTGGCCCGTGAGCCACTTTAGGTTTGCTGGATGGGGCTTTTGTGGCCAGTAGGGATGACATAATAAAGCCAAAAAAAAAAAAAAAAATCTAATGATTTTTAACATTTATTAAAAGTAAAAGGCCATTTTCTTGTTAAGAAGGGGGAAAAATATTTTTTTCAATTTTTTTAATTAAAAAAAATTATAAACTATGCAGACAGTTGTTCATATAAAGAAATGAAGCATCAAGTTAAAGTATGTTTTACTCCTTGTACTCGCTCCAGTGTTCACAAATTGCAAAAGAAATGACAGAAAAACTGTTTGAACTAATCATTTTTTGTTGTTTGTATAACAAATAAAATTCAGTTTTATGTCAGTTTTGGCCAAAGCTTGAAAGAGCCGCTGCAGAGGGACCAAAGAGCCGCATGTGGCTCCAGAGCCGCAGGTTGCAGACCCCTGGTCTAGTGGTTAATGCTCCTCAACCTCCTGCCTGAGGCAAAAAGTGCGTGTGAAAAACAGGTTAACAGACTGAAATGTTTTCCTAAAATGAGGCAGGTACTGGTCTACAAATAAATAAAAAAGCAGCAAATGTTCACTTAAAAAGAAAACATTTTCCACAGCACTGTGTGTAATTTTGAGGGATGAGTTATCTTTACATGAGAAATTTTATTTTCTGTTGTAGACTGAATTTTGTTGCATTGTTAAAAAATAATAAAATAAAAATCAGCAAATATTGTCCAGCAATTTTCCACAAGCACTGGTTTTAATTGTGCATCACAGTGAAGCGGTGTTTTTAAAAATGGAGGCTGAAGTGATGCAAGGCAGCAGAGACAGAGATGATGATGATGATGATGGAGGAGGAGGGGAGGGGCGGGGGAGTGGACGGCGGAGGGGCTCTCGTGCGTGTGGGCGCGTGGCGCAGGGTTCGGAGCGGTCGTTCAGCCTCCTCCCTCTCCTCCTCCCTCCCTTTAAACTCCTGCTCCTCCTGCCTCGACAGAGACGAGCTAAAGGCGGAGGAGCGTTCAGTCGGACGCTCTCGGGTTGTGGAGCAGCAGCAGCGGCGCGAGCCCGCGGTGGGGGACCGCGTCAGGTAAGCTAACGGTCGTCAGCGCGAGGACACTGGTTTACCGCTAACTACTGCCGTTAACTACTGCCGTTTTTTTTTGTTTTTTTTTTGATAGATTATTACGTGGTGTGTTGTATGTTGTGGTGTTAACTAGTTTGAGGGTGTTTTAAGTTTTTTTTTAATTTAGCCGGTCTGGATGTAGCTAGCGGCGCAGCCATCATCCGCAGGCGGTCAGTAGAGCTAGCGGGTGCCGCTGAACTGTAACCGGGACAAACCGTTAAATGTTTTACACTATACATTTATATTATGGCAGGTCGGTGTAGCATATAGTTAATAGTTAAAAAAAAAAAAAAAAATCAAATTCTGATCTCAATCAACGTTTAAAACAACACATATGTTGTTTCTGCAACTTTGATGAATTAACTGTCAACATATTAAAAATGTTCCGGAAAATTAGGGGGCCATTTTAACATTTGCGTCAGACTTGTTATAAATGTCAAGTGTTATTTGTCCAGTACCGCAAACAAATGGAGGTTTCTCCCATTTCAGATTGCGATAATTTTGAATATGAAGAATGCGTTTGAAAGCACAATTTCAATTTGCGGAAAGTGGTGACATTTTGTCCTGATATCAGAAAAGTAAATGATATCCTGTACAGATGGAGTGTTCGTTTTGTCACTAAATAATTATGGATAGCTGCAGTACTTCGAAAAGCCCGTGTATTATATGCTAAAATGGCTTGCTATACACGCACGCGATTTTTAACGCAAACGTTTCTGCGATCTGCTTCATGCGCGTGTTTGTTCCGCTCCGCTTGTGTTGCGCGTGAGACACTGGACGCTGTTTGACTCGAACACAGCCTCCGGTTTGATGATGGGTCCTCAGGCTGTGTGTCCCTCTTCAGCCGCCGTCCTCTGAGCTCCACACGCCGTTGACAGCGGTGAAGTCCAGGGGCAGGAGGTCCGCTGTAAAAATAGTCCGGTGTGTCAGCTCGCTTTGGGTCACCGTAATGCGACACACCACCACCCAAACACACCCGCGTTTCCTGACACAACACATGCCGGTCCATTTCTGCGACTTCACAGGAAACCAGAGAAACACCTCTTTGTTTGTTTGTGTTGAAGCAACTGACCAAACCGAACATGGCACAATGAAACCGGACCCCCCATATAGGACCTATCCTAGAAAGACGCAACTGCATGCAAAAAGACAACATAGAGATATAAAATTACAACCATTAAAGGAGAAATATGAAAGAAATGGAGCAAGGACACGCACCAAAATTAACAAAATCAAGAAAATTGTACAGTAAGATGTGGAATTCTTTCCAAGGTTACACAAAAATGTGAATAAAAGATGCGAACGGATAAAAATCATCATCAAGATGAACAGCTGATGACCTTAAAATTATTTTTCTATACAGGTAATGTCTTTTTCTGATTGCTCTTGGACCATTTTACACAGGAGTTGTTTCGTGATCTGCTTGTGACTCATTCAAGATGCTTGAAGTTTTGAAGTGAAGCCACAAACCTTTTTTTCTATCATAGTTCTGCTGTATGTGTGTGTGTATGTGTGTGTATGTGTGTGTGTGTGTGTGTGTATGTGTGTGTGTGTGTTTTCTCTTGTCTGAGGGTTTGAGTTCAGCTGCAGAACAGTGCAGCTGTGACAAACCACAAGTCACCTTGCAGATAAGACTTCTGCGGCTGCCCAGGTGCTGATGACAGGACAGTATAACCCAAATGCCACATGTGCAACCTACTTTCTGTTTTATCTTGGTTCCTATGATGCACGCCCTGCAGTGGTTCACCTAAAGATGCAGAAGAAAGGGGGAGAGCGCATTCAGCTGCCACACCAGGAAATAAAATATTTACAGTAAAGCAATAATTGCCCAAGTTAATAATAAAATGTATTTTGTTGGAGGGAAACCAAAAGCGTTCCAATTAATTGCGCGGGGGCACATCCTGTACACATTATGGATAAACAAAGCTCCTAATGGTCTGCGCTTGGCCTCAAAATTCTCCATTTTTATTAGAAATCAGTGAGACTCGCTTTAAAGTCTCCCATCGATACATTTCTTAACGAGCTCTTCAGTCGAGGGAGAGAATATATGAAGTCCTCTTGTAGTTTCAGCAGCATCCTCAGAGAGTAAACACGAACCACAGCTTTTTGTGGCCAGAGGCACAGAGGATTTTTTATTTTATTCAGATTTATCTACGAGGATGGAGGTTCAGGATCAAATTCACTGATCGTTTCCATCCTGGTATTGAAAGACAGTTTTTATGGGTTCTAATTACAAGGACTGGTCCAGGCTTAAAGACCTAATCCTGGGTTTAGCTGACAGTGGCCATCTGAAGCAGCCTTTGGATTGTTTTTTCCCACCGGCTGGCCTGCCTGCACATGAGCCAGGCAGCTTCTGGCTGGAGGAGAAAAGTGTCCTGGTGAGCAAGTGGCTCTGAGGCTGGAGGCTTCGGGGGGAGCAGCAGATGGATGATGATATAGCGGGTACTGGTGCTCCCTTCCTCCCGCCGCCATCCGTCACACGCTAATGATCGTGTCACACCTTCTCCCCGGGCGGGCGGCCACTTCTGCAGCGCTCAGCTCAAAAACTGGGGGCTGCTTAAATCCCCACCACCACAACCTCTCTCCTCCACCGCTGTTGGCTGCTGTAAAGCCTGGAAATGGGCTCTCCATTTCCTTCCCTCGTCGTCTCTCTTCAACCCTTTTCACCTTTAAAGCCCCCACAGGCTGCTTCTTCATCTCTCGTCATCGTCACCTTCCCTGCCCTGATTCATCTTTCCTCTGAGAGGATTTGCCTCCATCACATCTAATATTGACACGCTTGTGTTTTTATTTTACTAATTTACAAATTACATTCTGTACTTAACATTTTTCTCTCTGATTCTAAAAGTTAGTGTTGATTTGTTTCCCCTCTGTGAGGTAAAAGGTCACAGAGGAGCTCTTGTGGAGCTGGCGTGTCTCACAGAGCTGCACATTAGGGAGCCTGCTAAGTTATTACCATCCTTCTGAGCGGATAAGTCTCAAAATCATTTAGTTTTTTACTCAGGCTGCAGCAGACAGACCACCACACAGGTGCAGATCTTTATTAGCACCCTGATCACTGTAAACCAAACGGCAGGGCAGTAAGCTGTTAGGATTTTTATTAATGATCAGTCCTTTCATTCATTTCTACATCTTCCGCAAAAGTTTAGAAAACGTGAAAAACGTGCAACATTTAGTAAACTAAAAGCATTAATTTGAGTGACTCGGCATTCAACATTTAAAGGAATTCATCAGTTTTTTATGTTTGTTACAGCTTTAATTAAAATTAAAAAATAAATCCACCTATCTGCTCATCGGTGAAACATTTTTCTAATTATCCGATTAGAATCCTAACTACTGACGGAGTGATTTATTTTCTTGTTATAGGAAAATATTCCTTAACTCGACCCTTGATCCAGTTGTAAATATTTTGTGTTGTTTTTTATTTAATGGTTTTATTAAGAAGCTTGTGGGAAGTAAACACCACTTTGGTTGCACTTGGATTGACAGAAGCCCGTTTTCCCCCTCCAGAAAAGCTGCTGTTCTTTCCCGTTGGGTGTTAAATAACCATGTTATGGGACTCAGCATCCTCTGAGCTCGTCATTCAGTCCCAGGTGTTGCAGGATTAAACTCCCCCTTGAGCAGCGTGTTGCAGCAGAACGTGTACCCCGCAGAGCGATTTTTGGCTGATATGAAAAAGATGGTAGAACGCCCTCTACCTCTTGAGTGTTTGTGTGTGTCTACCTCTTCTGGTCTCAGCAGTACCCTCACCACAAGGTCCAGAGCCTCAGCTCGGCATTCTGGGGATATAATTGCTGCCAGATCAGATGATGCTCTCCTCCACAGCTGCTGTTTCTAAGAAAAGCTCGAGGACACGCTCTCAGACATGCGTTCACGCTGGCTCCACACACACATACAATGCACAATCGCAGGCTTATACGTTGACGCCATAAAGTCACACTTACAGTAATAACGCTGACGACTGCGAGGCAGCAATTAACTGTCAAGCCAGGAGAGCATTCGGGAAGTTCAGACAAAGATTCACGCATTAAATGAACTCAAGATTAGCTTCCTGATGTCATTTCTGGACGCTCTGGCAACTGCGTCTGTGTGAAACTGTAGTTTTGTTTCGGTCATAAAGCAGCTGCTAACACAGTTTTGTTTTTTAATCTCTTCAGGCTGTTTTCTATTGACCAGTGAAGAGCCCGCAGAGAGGACAAACAGTGGAGGAAGTGAGCAGAGGCGAACACAGTAATTGCATTTTTGTTTGCCCTGTGGGGAAAATGGGCTATATGACCCCATCATTCACCTGTAAGGCTCCCCAGTAAACAGGTACGTGCACAGATTCATGTAAATCAAGGCAAAGATTTGGCTAAATTGGTGAAATCTGAAAACTCTGAGCTGTGCACTTCACAGAAGGATGACAGAAGCAGCTGTAGAAAACACAGAGGTGTTCATCAAACCCTGCGATGTGATGTCATGCCAGAGCTGCCCCTCCCCACCGCCATGCCTCCCTCTCTGCAATCAGAAGGAAGGTGAGGACCGTCAGGCTGACGGTAAAAAGCTCGAGCAGCAGGTAGGTGACATTACAGAAACAGCTCAAATCTGTTGTTAAAAACGACACGCCTTCTTTACTGACTCGACTCATATTTTACCTTCCGATAATAAATTGTGCCCTCGCTCGCAGAAACACTGCGACCAGGTGCAACCAAAGAAAAAACTCAAGGTAAGCTAAAGTGGCGCTGCGTCACATTATTCATTCCTACTGAGATATTGATTGCACTAGGCCCTATGAATTTGTAATATTGCTTGTGCGTGTACTTCAGGCCAAAGGGAAGTTAGTGCGCAGCATGGCTGTCAGCGAGGAGTCCTTCCCGCTCAAAGAAACCAACGTAAGTTGCACTCATGTTCTCATTTTGCATCTTCCACCGCCTCCGTACCCCTGTCAACAAACTCAAATCACTTTATTTTTCTCCATTTCAGCCCTCTCCAGACGCAAACATCTCACCGAGCTGCCATGACAACCAGATGACTTCCTGTAAGGAGGAAGAACAGACAAGCTCGGATCCAAAGATGCATTCACTGTCCAAAGGTGTGTGACTGCAGGAGGTGGCCGTTTCATAAAAGAGAGTTTGGTTACAGCAAATAAAGTGTAATCAAACCGTGATTCCCTGCTTCTGTTGACACGCAGCTCTCCTGGGGTGTTTAATATTGCCATGCGGTTTTGTATTTTTGTATTTTGACATGTCTTTCCTGCCTGTTTTCTTCTTCCCAGAGTCCAGCGTGGAGTACAAGGACTCCACCGGCATCGACCTACATGAGTTTATTGTCAACACCCTGAACGGCAACCCCAGAGAACGTCTGATGCTGCTCACGCTGGAGCAAGACATGATCGACTTCCTCACCAGCAGTAGGTGTGTTTGTGTGGATCTTTGAATTCCCCTGTAGCTGCCTGACTTTTAATATACAAGTTTAATATGAAACCATATGAAAGATTAAAGAAGGAAGGGTTGATTCATATTTTGTCTTTCAGCCCCTTTAAAAAGTTCCCTCACATGTCATCCTACCACCGTATGCTGGTCCATCGGGTGGCGGCCTACTTCGGCATGGAGCACAACGTAGACCAGACCGGGAAATCTGTCATCATCAACAGAACCAGCAACACACGCATGTAAGCGTTATCAACCTGTCCGTGTGTACTTTAAAGTAGCTCATTTAGACGCTGATAGCTGTGTTTGTCTGCGTAAAGACCGGAGCGGCGTTTCCTGGACGAGGTGCCTAAAGAGAAGACCACTGACATCCACCAGTGGAGAACCATTTTGAAGAGGGACAACAGTTCAGACGAGCAGGTCTGTCTGGCCTCCCAGCAATTAATCTTCATAATTGACATTGATCCCGTCCCGTCCTTGACTCGAGCCGTCCTCTTCCCTCTCCCGAACAGGGCCGGCGCCACATTTTCCGCGAAAAGCAAAGCAAGTCGATGGAGGAGAGAGAGGAGGAGTACCAAAAGGTGCGGGAACGAATCTTCAACAAAGAGGTGAGGGAAAGAGACCGAGACGGGCGAAACAGACAGAAAAAAAACCATAATCTAAGCTCATTTCTCGTCTGTACTTTTCCAGCCACCCTGTACTCAGGAGAGCGCCCGTGTGGAAACCAGGTAACCTTGCCTGAAGTGTATTTTCTCCATGTAACTCTCAGCTTTTTATATTTAGATGAGAACATTAATATCCATCTGTGTGCGTGTGCAGGGATGTGGAGGAGTACAATCCATATGCTGAGACCCAGAGGAAAAGACTGCTCTTCAGGTAAAGCTTCGTGTGCGCACACACGCAGTCATTTATCATCTTAATCTGGTCAGCCCGGCCGGCGCGGGGCTTCAGAGTCTGCAGCGAAAACACAAAGAGGGCTGAGATCTTATTTTACTCCTTTGTGTGTGTCGGGATCTAGGCTTTCTGTCAGCAAAGAAACACTTAAAAGAGAGTTTTAGTGAATAATGTGGCATCAACTCCTCAGCCTGTGCATAAACAGGTCGGGGAGCCATTTGTGCTCCCTGCGCTCACAAACGGAGCGCCTCTCGAGCAGTAACACGGCTGTGTTCTGGATGTGCCTCACAGGGGGAGCCGTGACAGCTCAGGCTCCAGCTGGACAGGAAGCAGCAGGCAGAGCAGCACTGAGACGGACTGTCGCTATAGCAACGACCCCCGACCCTGGAGCAGCACCGAGTCGGATTCCACCAACCAGTGGACAAGTTTCACCCCCAAACCCCACCAACTTGCCTGTCCCAGCTGGGACGCACGAGGTTCAGGTGCGTCTTTTTAAACTTTATAAAAAAAAAAAAACATTTCAACACAGTTTACGTCACGTCGTCAAGGTGTAAACTCCATCAACAAAGGTGGGGCGCCTCTATCCTCGACACCTGTCCATCTGCAAACTTGGGCTTCATCATCATCGCTCCGCACTTTGGAGAAGAAAGATCACTGTTTATAAATTATCAGCTTTTTAGTCAGCAGCATCTAATTAACAAAAAGCAGTGGAAGTTCTTCTCGTGTGAAAACGGAGCTCGAGCCACAAATCTTCACACCCGAGCTGCAAATTTTCACACAACACCTCCAGTCTTCTTCTTCTTCACATATTCAGGAAAAAAGAGAAGTCATTAATGCTGAAGGGTGGCACACAGTTTGTTTTTAGCACCATTTTCTTGTTTTCTTCCATCGCTCAGATTAAGCTGCTGAATATAATTTTCTCCGTTTCACTTCTTTCCCTCAGGCTCCATCTCTCTTTACAGACTGTCGCCCGCTTGTCCTCGCTCTTCTCCTCCTCCCATCATCGAGGAGACGCCTCCTAACTCTGCCTTCATTGCGGAGAACGGCATCCCACCGGGGAGCATATTAGTGAACCCAGCCACCGGTACGTCACACATCCCGCCTGTCTGTCAAAAAAGGTGCGCACGCATATTTATCGTGCTCGACCTTTGACCTCTCAGGGCAGCCTTTCCTCAACCCCGACGGAACGCCTGCTGTGTACAACCCTCCAGACAATCAGCAGCCAATCAGGAGCCAGACTCAGCTGCAGGCATCTCCGCCCCAGGTAACAACACACACACAGGTGTGTTCACACTCACATACACACTCATTGCTTATCTCTGTCCCCGTGTGTCTCTCAGGTGGTTCAGTACGCGTCTGTCTCTTACACAGCTCCACAGATGTTGCCTGTCCCCCCCTCACAGCCATACTCGACAGTATGTAACACTCATCAAATGTCTGCTTCCACAACGAGCCTCTGACTCCTCTTCCCTTCTTTCTGACCCGACAGGTTGAAGATCTCTCCTCACAGTTCGCTCATGTGACAGTGAGCTGCCAGTCCACAGGAGACGGACCACCCGTCTACCCTCCCAGTCAGGGTTACATCTATGCAGCAGCTCCTGCCCCGCTCACCCCCTCCAGCTACTTCCAGCCCTCACCTCAGGTAAAGACTCGCATCATTTCACGACATCAGTTAACGCGAGACCGAACACACGCTGACGTTGTCATCCTGCAGGTGCCTGTGTATTATTTTGGACAGTACCCTACCTCAGCTCAGCACGGCTGCAGACCAGTCTCACCCACCCAGCATGTCCACAGCCAAGCAGCACAACCAACAGGTACCTTCCCTCCCCCCAGATGTGTGTGTCGCGTTGGAGTGTGAGGAAAAGCTGAGAGGAAAGGAAGTCAAACTGTAGCAGCAGAGGAGGGGGCCGTTACACTGTCAGAGATGTAGTCTGAGGGTCTCACAGTGAACCGGTCTCTTTTCCTGCTGCTTCTGATCCTCACTCGTTGTTTTATACGCTGTATTATAAATTATACGTGTTTTAATTTAACAGAACTAAGAACACGTGGCTGGTTATCTTGTCAAACAACAATCATGTTCAGTGTCTTCTAACGTTTTCAAACGTCATAAACATGCTAAACATCCGCTGAGGAAGCTTTATTTCTAACAACTCTTCACAATGCGTGTAGTTAAATATGCTCTAAAACAGTGAACAACAAATGGTGGCCTGCCGGGGGGGGGGGGGGGGGGGGTGGTGGGGGGGACACACACTTCCAATGAACTGAAAATAAAGTAACATGGCATTTAAGACATTTTGCATTTATTTCTTGTTTTAAAGCAATGCAGAAATAATCAAAATAAGCCGATTTCATACCTTTTGTAATGCTTTAATTTACCAGTTTATGTTGGGGCTGAACTGGGTCGTCCTCTGATGGCTCGTTCATATCTGTTGCAGAACATCGTTAAACAAGATGCTGCTTCTCAGCATCCGTGCATCACATCAAAACTCAGTGTTGATTAACCACAAATTCTGTTTCAACTCTGAAGCTCAAATAGTTGTTCGAATAATGTGGAACATTTTCCCTCAAACGTTAACCTCTTAACGTCAGACATTATTATTATTATTATTATTAATGTTAATTGTTCATCAAAGGACAGCCCCTGCAGACTCTGACCTCGGAGCATTTTTCAGTGACCCCTCCCTGTTTGACAATAAATAAAGTTGCATTACTTGATGAAAGTGTTGATATCTCCTCAGGTTACAGTCCTGCTATGAGGGTGCAGCCATCTTCCCACACCCAACCCCAACCGGTGATGGGCACCTACCCACCGGTCGCCCCCCTCCAGTGTAGCATGGTTCAGGTAAAGCACTCAGACGCCTCATTGTCTCAGACTCCAGCAGCTCATCTCCCAGAGGGGGAAGCATTTAGGAGTTGAAAAAGTGCTTGTGGTGGCAAAATCCTCTTTTTATTCTTTTTCTTCGTCTGCCTCTAGGGGGGTGCTTCGGTGCCCTTTCCCCAAAGTAAAGTTGTAACTGGGGGAGTTGGGGATGCGGGATACTGCTGCGTGGCTCCCCCTCCCTCCCACCACGGTAGCTGCCATCCTCCCAGCTGCTCCAACCTCAGCGCGCCGGCCTGGAGCGCGCAGTACTGACGGAGCGACGACACCTCGGCTCCCGCTCCAAGTCACATGCTCGCACACGTTTTGAAACACAAACACATTGTTTCGCACTCCTACGCTCATCTCCCGATGATGTGGGCGCGCTGTTCGCACACGGAAAACATAACCCTCGCTCACAGATAAATGTTCCACTGTACCAAAGCTTTAGTAGAAAATATATCAGAGCTGCTGTACTGAATGCATAATTTATATACACAAATGGGAGTTTTATATTGTTATTAAATTATATATTGTGTTTTAAGGAAATGCACTGTGTGAAGAGAATAAAGTGCCATGGCTTGACTGATGAGGTCACACTGTCTGCATCATCCTTCCTCTGAACTTGACGACAGTATTGACAGATGCAGCTAGAACATCTATCAGGAAGTGAAGCACACCAAAGAAAGTCCCTCTTGTTTGTGCACTCAACTGAACACTGGGAGCTTGAAAAAAAAAAAAACAGTTCCCAGAAAATCTGACGGGTGCGTAAAAATCCACGACGACTGGTACTCAAGTGAAGAGTCGAGCTCTTTTAAGAAGAATAAAAACCTCCAAGGGAGCTCTGCTTTAATCGATTGAGGAGAAACGAGCGACGCTTTTAAACTGTAAAAAGGCAGAACACTTCCAGGTATTATCCTGTGGAACATCAGCGCCTCCTGGTGTTCAGTAGTATCCATTACACCAGGGGTGTCAAACTCGCAAAAAGGGCCACAATTAAAACCTTTTTCAAACTAAGGGTCACTTTCAAAATCTACATGAACTCAAGTCAGATACCAACATCTTTTCTTGGTTGCAGGTTCCTCAAAAAGAGTTTGGTCTCATTTGACATTTTCTGTTGCACTTTTGACATAATCAAAGATTACTGAAAAAAATTCAAGTGAAAAAAGTATTTTAAGTTTAACATATCATCTTGGGGGGCCAGATGTCAACGAGGGCCACATTTGGCCCCCGGGCCTTGAGTTTGATATATGTGCATTACACGGTCCTGTTCTGCAGAATAATGAGTGTTCTTACAAATTAGAAATAATTTGTTCCTCAATGTGAAGGTTTGACTTTGTTTTTAGTTTGACATCATAGAACAGGGGTCTGCAACCTGCAGTATTTTGAAAATGTGTAGTACTAATTAATACAAGTAAAGCAAACTTTATTTCTTCAAAATACTTCATTAGTGTTTCCACAAATTAAACAATATCACAAGCCTGCATAGTTCATTTTAAAAATAGGGGGAAACAAACGCCTTTTTTTCCACTTCTTTACAGAATCTGGTCTTTTTTTTTGTCTTAAAATGTAAAAAATTCAAGTGTTAAAAATCGTCAGATATTTTTAGTTTTATAATGTCACCCCTACTGGTCAGAATAGCCCCCTCCAAGAACCTAAGGTGGTCCGTGGGCCACCATTTGATAATCACAGTTATAGCAGGTTTCTGCAGCATTTAATGAAGTGAAAGAAGGAGAGAAACGTTCTTTTGATCGTAAAGGTTGCAGACTCCTGTCATGGACCATCAGGTTAATGTTTTATACAGAAAAAGCATCACGTTGTCATTGCAAAAGGTTTTTCCTCCTCAGCAAGGCCTCGTGTCACAACAGAGTGACGGAGAGGCACAGAACTATTCCTGAAACTGAAGATGCTTAATGAAATCCAGCAGTGGCTAATTTTATTTACACCGTGCTGCTTCTGCTAAACATCCGCTCAGAAAGATCAGAATCCGGCTGAAGCTCTGCCAAAATTCAATCAGCTCCTACAAACATACGGGAGCGAATCGCTGCACAAAATCAACTCGCTTTCAAGTCTTGGGGCCATCGACGTTTTCACGCTGCTGCAATATCCCCACTTCGACCGTCGAGCAGGCAATAAGCTGCCGATGCAGAGTTGTTTCAAACGCCGGATAATTCACTTTGTACTCCGTGTAATTCATACTCACTCTCATCAAACTCAATGAAACATATCCATCATCCAAAAATGCAATTTAGATTTCATAACGGCAGCACAGAATGCATAATTTATAAAGGTCGGAGCGTTCACGGAGCCAGGCCTATTTTTGTCCTACATTCTGCACACACACACGCACAGAGCGCTGCAGGTTCTGTGATCTTTAATAAAAGGCACATGTACAGCCATGGTGAGATGAGCGAGTCCACTGGCATCAAGTCAAAGCAGTAAAACACGGAAATACAGAAGAGTGGAGGTCAGAGGAGAGAGCTCCGTGTCTTTACAGTAGAATCTACTAAAGTAACAACAGCTCGTCTTCATTCAAGTAAGCCTAACACATGTCTCTCTCTCACACACACACACAGAATCATCCCAAAACCATCAAGTCCAGACCACCTGAGACTCAGTCTGGGTCTCTGTCGGTAATATCAGACTGCTGGGGGATGTCCGCCCATCACGTTTGGAGCTTAATCTGAGCTTCATCCTGGATTATAGCATGCCCAGTTGTTTTTTAAGATCAATTGTTTTGTGGTAATCTAATAAAACCCAGGTTGTTCATTTAAAAAAAAAAAAAATGTAGCAAGAACAGATGGTAGTTACAGCACCAACAGCTTTTTTTTTTGGATTAAATGTTTTTGGTTTGATGGTGTATGAGATAATTTTGAACTCTCCACAAAGCTGCTAAAACAAATCATCTTTAAAGAAACAACCGTTAAACTTTTTTTTTTTAAAGGGCTAAAATAATTTCAGTACGTCAGAACTGTAAAATTAAACACTTTTTTTGGTTTTTAATTATTTTTGTGGTTCAAAGTGTCAGTAAATTTCAAAGTTTTGAATAGAGTTGACATAATGAACCATGAGGGTCCGGTGTGGAGGTCCGAGGACGAGTTCACGAGGCCAGATGTTTACATACATTACATTTCATCAGAATAAATGCTTCCTGGTTTAAATCAGGACTCCAAAAATTATTTACATTTGAATAATGAGAGGATTTCTGGTTACTTTCTTCAAAGTTACAAGTCCACGTACTATGAGACTGTTGTACCTTTAAACAATTTAGGAAAGCTCGGACGTCTTTGGAAGCTTCTGATGCTGCTGAAGCTGGTCAGAGTCATTTGGAAACACGAGCTGAAGGACACTCAGTGAGGAAGAAGCCATTTCTCTAAAAGCAACATAACAAAATTACAGGGACAAAGACCTTCATTTTTGGGAACTACGTTTAAAGTGATCATCAAGAACCTCGTTAAACCTGAAGCCCAAACGAAGAAGTTTGCATCGCCACAGCTGTGAAGCACGGAGGTGGCAACATCATGTTACAGGGACTGGTGCACCTCATAAAATATATGAGACCCATCACATCAAACTGAGAATTTAGTCAAATTTAGTCAAAATGAACGAAGCACTTTCAAATTCCTGTTTTTTTAAGCTACTTATCGACATCATGAGCATCTCCAGAGATATCAAAATCAAAAAAACTCCTGGAAATCCAGTCTGAATCTTACTTTTTCCATGTTCTAATGAAGATTTCTCAATGTCATCTGAGAGAGGAGACCTCAAACCATATTTGGACATCAGGACCTTCCAGCTGTTATTAGCGTGCAGGGCAAGTAGCAAAATGCTAAAAGTTTTCAGCTCAAAACCAGTAGTTGTTGGTACTGCTCAGAAAAGTGCTTCAGAACATTCTTAAGGACGATACTTTGGACATTTTGTTCACGGGACCCACAGATAAGACATTATTCATCATATTTGGACAAAATGCAATTATCACAAACTTTTAACCTCTTTAGCTGCCTTTATATCAAAGTACCACTTGGTGACATACTAACTCGAAGTGACGCAGCACAGACAGCACCATGACTGAAGAACATCGTGTGAGAATATTAAAGCAGCATCTCAAGACGTCAACCAGGAAGTTGAAGCTTGGGGACAGGTGGATCTTCCAAATGGACAATGACCCTAAGCATACTGAGAAATTAGCTACAAAGTAAATGTTTTAAAGCAGCCATCGCCGAGCCCTGATCTCACGCTCATAGAAATTGTGGCCGAGCTGAAACATGTGAGCGAGGCGAGCTACAAGAAGCTCGACGAGACCTTTGACCCAAGTCGTACGGTTTAAAGACAGCGCTACCAAATACTACATTTATGTTAACCTGTCACTTTGAAGGAAGTAGTAAAAATATTTCAGTATTCAAACATTTACCAACTGGAATAAATTTGGGAGCGTTTGACTGAAAACTGGAAAGGCTCAGTTTGACTGAACGTCAGACATCGAGAACATCTGTCTTTTTGTAGAGTGTATGTAAACATCTGGTGTCAGCTGGTTGATCTGTTAACACACATTTACACACAGGCATCCAACCTCACACTAAAACTCAAGTAAAATAAAAATAAAATGTTCACAAGTACTTGAATATTTGGGGCTGAGACATAAAAAGCTGTTGGGGGGTCAAAGGTTAAATAAAACCACAGCTGGAGGGAAAGGTTGAAGAACTAAAATATCCACTCAGCCAAGTCGGCTCTCTTGAAGAAAGAAGTGTGCGGGGGGGGGGCTGTTTTTTTATCTTTTTTCTGGCAAACTAAGACGTAAAACGTTTGTTTTTTTGTGGAACCAGGACGGCGTTGAGGACAGCGGGGCACTCGTGGACCCAAAGAGCGGCTCAGTAGAGTCCGGGACATTGTCTCGTGTCGTCGGGTCAGCTCGACATGCGGGCAGAGCTCGAGTCGCACCCTGTGGGGGCCGTCGCCTCCGCTCTGCTCCACGGACACACAAAAACAAGCACACGCAGCAAACCCTGCTTTGGTCGGTGTGTGTGTGTGTGTGTACGTGTGTAACCTTGACTCCAGGTGTCCCAAGGTGAAAGGTCGTCACAAACCACAACTACCGCCTCTCCTCAACTACACGTTTCACCCCACCCCTCCATCATCTCATCTCCATAGCAACTCACAGCTTTCCTGAGCGAGGATGCTCACTATCTTGTAAAAGGAGGTAAGTGTAATCAGTATGTGTGTGTGTGTGTGTGTGTGTGTGTGTGTGGATGTTAAGAGGTATCAATGGTTCAGTCTCTTTAATCCTCGTCTTCAATCACCCTCTTCGACTCTCGGCCTCCTCCTCCTCTCCTCGAGGTCTTTATTTTTGGACTTGGAAGATGAACAGGCGCAGGTTGATGTTCTTGGCGGCCAGCAGCTTGTTGCACTCCACCGAGTCGGAGATGGGCAGCGGGACGTAGTCGGTCTCGTTGGCGTCGTTGCTGAAGGAGTGGTGGTAGATGACCGGCTTGATCCGCACGTCGTCGTACGGACCCTTCAGCAGCAGGAAGGAGCACTCCAGGGTGGAGTTCACCTGCGTTCACACACAAACTGCATTAAGTCTTTTAAATGACAAACTATTTACGTCATTCTATTATTGAGAGAAAAGTAAGTTGTTTTGCTTCTTTGATACAAGTTGCTCGCTTTCACACCAGAAACTGACCACTTGAGATTTTTGGATCTTGCAAGATGAGTTCCATCTCAAAGTGTTAGGGATGACTCTCAGCTACCCAAACACCAAATGTTAGCTCAGTTTCTGTGAACGTGGCCGAGTTAGAGCCATTTTTGTGTTTCCTAAGTTTAGTTAGCTGCAAGCTTGCATTGGGCTGAGCTCAGATGTTAGAAACCATCATAATATATTTTGTTAACACAGAGACTCCGATAGTTTTTGGTCAAGGTTTAAAAACAAATTTCATAGTCAGTTCGTGCTCAGAGTCGAGGTTGAGAATGACTCTCGGTTACCACCACACAAAACTTGAGCTCAAATCCTGTAAAACGTGCCGAGTCGACATTTTTATACTTGCTGAACTCACTTAGCCATGGCAGCCATCTTAAATCAAGTTGACTCCAAAAGTTTATTAGTTGTAGATATTTACTCAACGGTCACTTTCAGGGTTTCATTAAAATCGTCTACTGGTTCAGGAGATATTTAGCTAACACTACAAACACACACACAATGTCCACCATCATTTTTAATTTGTTAAAAATTAAGATAAATTAGGCGAGAAAGATGGGGGTGAGGTATTTTAAAACCTGTTAAGGCTTTAAAATACCTCAAGGCCGTTGTGACGTCTTTCTGCTTTGAACAGCCGCTATGCTTTACCAGGCGCTTCTAATTTAAATACCAGCTACACCTGTCACGATAACAAATTCTGCTGGGCGATTGTCTCAAATTATTGCGATAAACGATAATATTGTTTGAAATTTGACAATAATTAATAAATATTGTCAAATTTAAGAAATGTTGGTTAATTTGTTTTGAGTGTAGTACCTTTTTTGACCACTGGATGGCAGTATAAGACTGTTTCAACCAAAGGATAGATAGTGAGGGAGCGAGCAGCGTGTCTCTTTAAGAAAAATGGGAGGGAGGGCTCTTGACATGATATGGGCTGTCTCTCCTTCCTTTTTTTCGGTTCTCACAATGGCGGGCACTCGGTGTGGTTTGAGCTCTTTAGCATTGCATTCGTCACACAAAGCTTTTAATAAAAATCAGTAAACGAGTTCTCAGCTTCTTTTTGCAGAGAAAAATCACATTTTTACACCAAGGCACGGGTTTCAATCATGAATTTTGGAGCTTCAATAAGACGGAGGTAATGAAATGAAATGAATTCTGGTAATACCACAAGTCCCTTTTCATTGGCAAAAAACATTTTGTTTTGCAGTTTATTTTCAACTAACAGAGGGAAAAACATACTGTAAAGAGAAAATATAGCTCTTACGAGGTGGCTGAGTGGTTTAAGAGAAGGAAGAGGGATTTTTCTGACCAGGAAATGGATAAAGCAGACGAGCAGTGACATATCACCTCAGACAGAATGGATTATGAATTGGGTCATATTGTAAGAAATATTCTTCAAATGTAAGTGAAAACATTTCATAAACTGCTGCTGTTTGTTTATATAAAGTCAGGAAATTATACTCTGTCATGTTTTCAGATGTGTGTGGTGCTGGTGGAGAGTGTACGTATTTCTGTGTGCCTCCTTACAGTTTATTCATAATTTACTGTATTTTAATCATGTTGACAGTAAATCTGGAATTAGAAAATTATTCCTGCAGTTCTTCTCTTTCATTAGAGCCCTCACTGATGTTGAAGCATTCAGGAGTTACAGCCTTATGATATTGGTGTCCAATTGTGTGGACATATTGGACTCCACTTGGACACTTTGAAATATGCACGGACATATTTTCATAAAGATATGTCCAGAATAATCACTGTCGCTACTATTGTTATCAAATTTGAACTGGTGATAGATAAGACTTGATGCTACAGTCTTAGTTTTCCAGTCCATCCCTCCATGTGCATCAACAGAAATAAACAATAATAAATTAAAAAAAGAGGAAAAAAAAGATTTGTGTGTGTTTAACCTTAAACAACTACATAGTAGTTACAGTTACTGTACAATATTTATGTCAAAATATCAGTTTTACCCTTACAGAGCCCAAGCTTTTGAATTTACTTTAAAGGGTTCAAGAACAGCGTTTAATTTAATTTAAGTACATTTACTCCGGTGTTTTCTGCCTCCTGTTTGGCAACTTTGAACAGGTTAAGACTCTTTGGAAAACTGAAATGGTTTCTGGACGCCTTGTGTGTTTTGTTTAATGACGAAGAAAGATGGCTGCAGAGGTGCACCAACTCCAAACAGAACTGAGAGCAAACAGGTCCAAATAACTTGTCCTACCTCTCTCTCTAGGGACTGGATCTGAAAATGAAAAATACATGTTGGGGCTTGTTTCTTGGTCTCAGGTAGATTTGTCATTTTTAACCTGGACCCGAAGCCTGTCCTGACCCAAATTCGGGGCGGGCCGGGCCATGATAATGTGCTGCATGGGTGGGCCGGGTCGGTGTTGGGCTTTTGATTGCGTCAGTGGATCAGCCATGATCCAATTATATGGCAACATGGCTTGCCATACAATCACCAGCCGCACACAGCCATTTCACCGCGGTAGGCAGCGATCCATCGCCCAAATGGACGTTCATTCAGCCGCTGCACTCAGAGGACGCGCGCAGCCAACGACCCAAACAGGTGAGATCACAAAGCAGACATGTCAGAGCAGGGTCCATGTCTGAATAATGCAGCATGCAGGCAGAAGCAGGGTTTAAATGTTCTTTGACGGCCATGAAAGGACAAACACCCCCTCAGCTCCGATCTTCTGCCTCTTTTACTCAGCCGAGCGTCCACCGACCGTTATTACCGGTAGCTATACATGCAGTCAAAGCTTAATTTAAAATGTTGAGGGGGGTGTTTCGGGTTCAGACCTGTAATTACTGATAATTCGTTGGGTCGGGTGGGGTTCAGAAATGATGGCTACGGGCTGGGGCGGATTTTTTGGGCCCGAATGCAACTCTAGTCTCAGGTGTCCATCACCTGAGAGCGTGAAATGAGTGAATGTTGGAGACGGGCTTTGTTTTTTGGTTTTTTTAGGGAGCCAGATCTTACAACCAGTCTTTTGAACGTCACATGATGTCCATGTGTAGTGACATGTAGTGACTGCTGCGATCACGCATGCTAATCAAGCGTGTAACTCCTCTCTACCTCTCTTCCTGAGTGCAAGTTTGTCAGTCACAACAACTGCTCCTCTTTGCCGATTCTTTTTCCACTTCTGTGAAGAAGCAAAGAAGAAGCGAGTGTCTCCATCTATGTGAAACATGAAAAAAAAAAACACTCAACTCTCTGCAACTCGGCTCCCCTGGTTCATTTTAAAGAGTCGTTCAAAAAGTTTGGCTCATTCGTGAACGTCGCATCTCTTCTGAGCATGAGAATCCACTCCTGCTGGAATCAGAGAAGTAATCTGACTCACCTCTTTTATTTTAGAAGCTGTGGACTCACTCAGCCTGTATGAAGACTCTCGTATCACATGGGAGTTGTTCACATATAATTGTCATCGTCCTACTTGTGTTTAAATCATCTTAGAGTAATTTTTATCAGGCTTATTTGATGGCAGCCATAACTCAGGTTGTCAAAGTTCACCTGAAAACATTTCTAAACTTTGTCCCGCTCTAAACTTAGCTGACATGAAGAAAAGTGGTGAACCACGGAGCCCTGAGATCCAGCAGACACGCAGGGACTTAAAAATAGACCCGGACGAACCCAAGAAGCGAGTGTACCTTGCTCTTGAGGATGAGCTGGAAAGAGAGCGTGCGTTTGCAGGAGAGGTTGGGGTTGCGCTCGAAGTCGTTGACGCGGGCCTTCAGCACCCATGTCTGGTTGAGGACCGTGAAACGTGGCGTTTCGTAGTACAGGCGGGTGATGAAGTCGTCGGTGCGGTACGGCCTGAACTGCACCTCTGAACACAGAGAGGTCGTTAGAAAACAGAAAAGAGCAACAAGGAACTGTTCAGGTTTCCTCTGAAGCTCCTAACTTCTTGGTACCTGTGAACCCAATCTTTTCATAGCACAGCAGGCTAAAGATGCTGTTGTAGAGCTGCATGTCTCTGCGGTGACTCTGATCCATCTCTCCCAGTATGCCCATCAGCTCTGTACCAGTCTTAGTTGGGTGGGAGCACTCACTTTCGTGTGCCGGCAGCTCGTGAAACGGACCTTGCCAGGGGCAGCCGATCCTCTTGTACTTGCACTGCGTCACCCTGGAAACAAAACAACAAGGTGTCGTTAAAGACAAAGGAAGCAGAGCTGCAGCTTAGTGTGAGTTGCATCCTTTGGCAGAGGAACTGGGTGATGAAGATGTGACCACTTGCGGTGAATGGAAGGTAGTAATTAGCCGAGGATGTGAAGTGGATCGCTGAAAACCAACCTCAGGTGAAAGAGGCCGCAGATTCATATAATTTACATCATCTAGAGGTGATTTTCAATGAAGACTTGTTATTTTATTAAAGCAAAAGGAGGTGGTGTATGGTATGAAAGGTACTACTTAGTCACTGCAGTGAAGCAAAGATAATGAAAGCCACGCTACACATATCAGCTAAAATAAGCTCTGGTTCAGCACAGGGTGGGTTAAATAAAGTTTAGGTGCAAACGGCTGCGTTTCTAAGAACAAAACTTGTCTGCCTCCAGTTTTCCATCTGACCTTACCAAAAATAATAAAATAAAACCACCTGCCATGGCTGCTGTCATGGCAACTCTAACACAGGCTCATGGCAGGGTCACCTGTTGCCATAGATACAACCCCATAGGATTTCAGCATCGCCTGTGACTAATGCACAGTATGTGGTCTTCTTCAGATTAACTCTGTGTGATGCTGCTTCCACATTAAAGTATAAACCAGTGATACTCTATGAAGTGTGTTGGTTTTGATAGTTTGGCCTGGATTTAATAAGAAGAATGTCTGACAGTAAGTTTTCTCCTGTTTCAAACACAGTGTTCTCGTGCTTGCTCAGCGTGTGGTACATAAAACCTGTCTTGGCACTCCTCCTTCTGGTGCCTCTCCAGGCTGGAGCGGGGGAACTGTTTTAGGCAGAAGGTGCATTCTGTCGGCAGCTCGCTGACGGCCTTCTCCACCGCCAGATTCCTGCAGCACAAGTTCTTGCTGATCTCACACCTACACGAACACAGAAAACAACGATTCATACATCGGTGCCGTGGTGCGTCTAATAGTCGGGTGAGTTTGGAAACACCAAACAAAGAGCAGGAAAACAAACAATGGCACGGATTGGGGTAAATTTCAGTAGATCTTGACCAGCAAAGTACAAAGTCCAAGTTATTTTTATCTGAATATGCACTTATTGTGAAAGGTACACTGATTTAAACAGAGTATGTGAAGAAAAACTAAATTGTCATGAATATTTTTAGATTTCAGCACAAAAACAACACAAAAAATCTTGTGCAGACAGGCTGAGTGGCACATGGGTGAGCATTCGGTTCATGTGCTGCTCCGGGCTAAAATAATTAGGTTTTTATATTTGAGTCTTGATGCAGCTCAATACGCCAACAGCCTGTCAAACTGCCCTACTTTAGTCTAAAGTCAGCCTGAAAGTTGTGTAGGAGCAGTTTAAACCCTCTAAACTCAGGACTTTATGAGCCAAGACACTTTTTTTTAAAGCCACAGCTCATCTCCTCCTCCTCCTCCTCGTCTTCATCAATAAAAGTCATGCCAAAGCTTTCATGTAACAGCTTGATAAACTTCGTTCTGGCTTTGATTTGTCCTCATGTCCGTCCACTCTGCACTTCATCCCAGCTTCTATAAAAACAGCATCAGAGAAACTGAAACAAAATAATTTACCTGCTCGTTTATTATTTTACAGAAATCATCCGATACGGTGTTCAAGCGCGCGTCAAAATCTTTGATCTTGGTACAAAACAAACACATCAAACCGTTTCTTACTGGTTTTAGCACATTTTTTCTTTAAAAAATGGGAGATTTGTGGGTTTCCTCTTTTGAGCTCCTGTCTTTAAGTCTTTTCATCTCATTTCTGTTGTTTTAGTTAATTCCCTAACAACTTTGACCTGACTACTTAATAAAAATGGTTTAAAAAAAGTAATTTGTTTTTAAATCATTTTTGGTCCTCTTTTTTTCCCCATTAACGCCCAGTTTATTTAGTATTTTCTGGTATAATTTAGCTTTAACTTTTCTATTGATCTGGGGCAAAGCAAACGTAGTGGAACAAAAAAACAACATTTATATCTTTATGTTTGAAGCCTGAAATGTGGCAAAAGGTTGAAAAGTTCAAGGGGGACGAATACTTTCGCAAGGCACTCTGTATATATTTGTGTGCAGTGGAGAGCATCCTGTGCTCCAGCATCAACGTGTGGCATGGAGGCTGCACAGCTGCAGAAAGAAAAGCTTTGCAGAGAGTGGTGAAGGCTGCACAGAAGATGTTGGAGTCAGTCTCCTCGCCATCACAGACATCTACAACTCCAGATGCAGGAAGAGGGCCACCTGCATCATGGAGGACCCCACTCACCCAGCACACACACTTTTTGTCCCGCTCCCTTCAGGAAGGAGGTTAAGGAGCATTAAGTGTAGAACCACTAGACTGAGGAACAGCTTCTACCCTGAGGCTGTTAGAC